CACTATGATTACTGTAATCTGGTGCTTACCCATGTTCAACCAGAGTTTCCCTGATAATTCTTAAATACCTTGCTGCCTCATTTGTTTACAGTGGTAGTGGTATTGCCCATGTGTTTTTCAAATGTGTTGGACTACCACTACCATAGTACCCAGCCTGAACAGTCACTAATTCACTAGTAGGCCAATGCTTTTGGAGTTGAGGGAAAGGCTAGCCTGGAGAAATTCATTGTCTTGTCCATCCAGAGAGAAATTGTTATTCCTTGATAAAGTGCCAGTTAATCAAATCCTGGTTCCATACATGGCAAAGCACAGGAGCTCTCTATTTCCATTTTAATATCCTGGAGGGAACCATGTGTTATACACAAGTTGGTAGCATTGAGGTCAATGGCTGTGGTTCTCAAAATAATTTGGAAAGCTGCTTCCAAAGGTCTTGAGCTAAGCACAACTATTTAAGCACAAATTAGGTATGCATGTGTACACATACACAGACTCACATTTCTCCTAACAAGTTGTTCTATTAATGGGCTCCTAATACCCATTTATTCTATCTCCACATCAATGCCCTGTAAATATCTTGCAATCTGCACAAGGATATGATTAACTCTAAACCTCTAACCACTGCCTTGTGCTGTATAACACCAATACCTTAAGAGAATACTAAACAAACCATTTCCCCCCTGCCCTTATTTACATGGCTGAATGTTAATTAAAAATAAAATCTGCAACTTTGCACTTGAATGGTTGAACTAACTGTTCTTTCCCCTTATTTTAGAGGTAGCTGTTCCCTACTATACTGAACCCGAGTGCTTAAAACTGTGATGGCTCTATAATTGGGAAAAATAATTCCTGAAAATTAATCTGGATGCATGTATACATGCAAAGTTGAATATGTATGCAGAGGATGTGTAAAAAGAGAAGTTAGACCAAAGTTGAAATTGTGAAGCAGATGTGACACAGTGGAGATGATAAGAAAGTATAAATAATTCTGAATCTTACATGTTTGGATCAATAGCATTATTTAACTAGCTGCTTTTTAGAGTATCTTCCAAAGTAGTAATATGATTTTTCAATGGAATATCTTGTAGGATCCATTTTGTTTTGAAGAATGCACCATCTCTGCTTATTCTGGACAATTTACAGTGTAATAAGTTACCACAATATTAATAAATGAGAGTTAACACATTCAACTAGGATGTTGTTGCAGGTCACTGCCACAGCATTTGGAAAGAGGGTTTTTCATTTAAAATTCCAGAAATAAAAAACGCTTAGCAGGTTCACAGCTTAATCTTGTATTTATATTTTTTTTCTGATGAGTTAAAATATATTTTTTAAAAAACACACTTGTTATCATGATCCTAGCTCAAGTGAACATTAGTATATCAGCTACACATCACCAAAACATAATCACAAAAATTCCAAAGCACTCACCAGTTCTAGAAACGAGAGAACAAAGACAGCAGAGTTACAAATAAGACCGTATCTTTGCTTTCTGATCATCTGTGTATGCAATTCTTTGCATTTCCTGCAGTCACAATAAACATATATTGGTCTACTAGATGTTTCCTTTCAAACAGGAACAAGCTATTACAGACATTGCCATGCTTCTGTTTTACCAGATTCTGAAGTAGCATCCTATCCCATTGTGCTATGAAAAATAAAATAAGATGGGCAATTACACTTTTAGAGTGAAGATATTAAAAGGCTCACTATTATATTCTGAGCAACATTCTGTTGTGTGGACTAACTGCAACTTCCTTTTTCCCTGGTTAGTCAAATTAGCCCAACCAACAGATGGGGTTGTTGGAGCTAGAGTTAAAAAAAATCTGAAGAGCGTAAGATTACATGTTTCTCATTTAAATAAAATATATGCAAGATGTATTCCTGAACTCTACATGCACATTAGATTTCTGTGATTTAGATTGCTGAGAATCTCAGCGTCCGTTAAACAATTAAAAATTAAGGTTGTAGCCCTCATTATAGTGAATGTATACTTAAAAGCATGCAAGAGTAAATTGAATGTTTTGGTAAAAGAGCTTGAGTTTCTATAGTCCACCAACATGGTCTTCAGTTTTATTTTGCTCATGCAGCTCCCCACAGCCATTATATTTTCACTACGTTCTGCCCAACATTTGAAGGTTGGCAAAGAACTCAAATCCTGAATACATGCAAATAAAGATTAAATAAATTTGGGTTCATTATTGATTTTTTTTATTGTGAGCATTAAATTTTGTGGGTTTTATCCACATATGTAGAGCTATGGAACACATTACATGTACCTTTTAAAGAAAAGCTCACTAATGTTCCGTGCAAATATTTCTGCATGTAGAAACATGACTGAACCAGACAATTTGCAGGCGTTCTAGAGAAAAGTGTCAGATAATACTTACTAAATAACGCTGGACTTATGAATATGATATAAGGTTTATCAAAGGTCCCCCTTCTGAGCTTATCTGGTATTACTGAAAGGCCACTAAATAATTGCGTTCCTTGAATGAGTACTGTCACTAAATACAGAGGAGCTACAGTCCAATTATATTTTGCAAAACCAGACAATCTTTGATACGTAACTTTACGGAAAAGGAAAACTGCTGCAAAGTCTTAAAAGGCTATGACTTTGAAAGCAGACAGAACTACCAACTGAAATTTCCCTATGGTGCTCTATAAAGGATGAGTTGCATCTACGCTTTATTCCAGTAGGCATGTTATAAATCAGAAGGAAGCCAAAATTATTTTATCAGAGATGCTGCTTCCTGAATGTGCATTCTAGGCATGTGAACCCCGTTGGAGTCAGCATGAGGGGGACAATTGTGCTTTCATTACCATTGTTGGTTCACTCACAGCTGGATACATGGGGTCAATGTCAGAAAAATGGAGATTGAGGATTACCTAGATATACAGTTTGAGGAATAACTCTTTGGAAGATTATCTATTTCAGGAAAATAATAATTTGACTATTTAGAAAGGGAAAGAAAAATAATTATGTATAGCTAGCAGTGTTAACATGCATCACATAGGCTGCTTAGGATGAAGAAAATTACGTTCTTAAAGATTTTCCCAACCCAAGAGGACAGTAGGACAGTAGTACATAGACAATAACTTCTCCTGATGATGCTGTTGATTCCTAGATGCATTTGAATTCCACTCAGAAAGAGTGAAATCCCCAAAGGTTTAATTTTGAGGCATGTGAAAACCACTACTCACATGAGCTCAAAAAGATTCTTATCTGTGAGACCAGAAAAGAGGATGCAGCTTTTTCCTTAGTCTCTTATTTAATCAAAATAGATTTTGTTAACTGCCTAGTGGGGTGCTTCTCCCATTCTAAGGTAATAAACAGACATAAATTCTTAAAATAATCTTTAAACGCTCAGGTTCCCTGATGCTGGCATAGTGAAAATGGCTCAGCATTATTACAAGGGGATTCCTTTATTCAGCTGTGTCCCTAACTGAACATTTTTTGTTTTAAATAATCAAGTACCAGTATTAGAAATGCAGATTTTTACAATAAGGATTTTTGTTATGACGACGATTTAGTTGTGCTCCAATTGGCTTCCATTGTGAATGTACATGCCTGCCAATTTTCTTAAGACAAGGCTGTGTACAAGTAGCAATTCCAAGTTAGTATTTCATTCCAAAGCAAATTTCACTTTAGATATGTGAGAATTACATATCCAGCCAATCCATTTAATGTTTTTACAGAGAAAAGACAAGGTGGAATATTTAGAGCCAATGAACAACAAAGCCCTAGTCAAGGGCCGGAGATTCAGCAGACTGAAGGCTGAAAACTTAAAATTTCTTTCAAGTTTATGCAGGGTGAAGTGAAAGGAAAAAGTCTTCCTTTTGCAGTCACTTTCATGGCAATGAATGATTTATCTTCATTCTATCAGAAAAGCTCCATTTCAGTTTTTGCCTTGAAATAGAGACAGGAGAACCTCATTATTTTCTCCATGAAAACATACTTTATACGTCAAGTTTAACTGGCTAGTACATGGTTTGTTCAAAAACAAACAGCATTAAAATGTTTGGGGAAAACAGCAGGAAGGAGAAGGACTGACTATAGAAGCAGAGTTGCACTAGCCATGTCTTACCCTATTTAAAACTCCTCCTGGGGTGGGGGGGAAGCAATCACAAGTGCACAAACACAGGGCATTCAGGAGAGAAAACACTGATTTAAAGCAGAGCTTCCCAACCTCAGCGACTTTATGATGTGTGGATTTCAACTCCCAGAATTCCCCAGCAAGTCCACACATCTTAAAATTGCCAAGGTTGGGAAATTTTGATCTGAAGAGGAAGATGAGAATAATCTCTTGATCTGCATGTTGCATACATGGCAAAGACTGTAGGCCTTGCTGACTTAGGACAGTGATTAATGGTGTTAAGGGGAATGGTGAGTCTCTAAACATAATGAAGACTAAATATAAAATAAACTCTTTCTTCCCCTCTTGCTATAGGAAGTAGTGTGCAATAGGAAAAAAAAATCTGAACTCAGAAGAAACTCTGTTCTAGACACACTCGCATATTGGATTAGCATTATTTCTCCCCAAAAAAACCAATGTCTCAGGCTATACTTTCTTGATGACACAGGTCAGGATCATAGATCATATGTAGGATGAAAAAACATGGACAGAACCAGCTGCCCAAATATTCTTTGTTCCCATCAATTTATGACCCACTGAGACTTCCATAGCAAATGACCAACAGTCACTATGGATTATACTGGGGCAACTGCTATTCTAAAGTGAACTTGCCTGCCTGGCAACATAAACATCTTATTTTCTGGCATTTCACATTTAAAAACAAACCTTTGCCAACTGAATTAAGCTCTTATCTTCTGATACTCCCAGTTGGTGATGGTGACTACCTAATCCCTGCTCCCATCATGGGATTACTCAGAAATATAGAACAATTTTTATCTCTTTTCCTTCATGAAGTCCACCATACCCCTTCAATTTTCTTTTCTACTATTTTCTCTTCCTATATAAACTGGTCTTGCAGCTTAAAGGTTCAGATGTGGAGTCATAACATCCATTCTTTTATTAGTTTCTTTCCAATTAGGTGGAAGAATACACAAAGGTTGGTCAACTCACAAACAATTCAACCACGTTAGTAGGAAGAATATGATTTTTTTTTTTTTGCAAGCATTCATTTAATGTAGATACAGGAAAAAAGTAGGAAGATGTAAGTATATAGGGAACCCTGTAGTTTCTGTAACTTTTTGTACTGTACCTTCCTTATTTAAATATGGAGTCCACTAAAACAATGAAATTGATGATCAATAAACCTCTCCACTTAAGCAATATTAGACTTACAAAATAAAACTTACACTTTCATTTACTGGCATCTCCCAGGCCAACATTTGATACAGATAAATAAATGCAAAGGTCTTAACTGAAATTGTTTTAAACTTCCATTATGACCACCTGGCTAGTTTCTGGCCACCTGGGCCTTCATTTGGCATTAACCTGGCAATTCTTTAAAGTCCAAGGCCATCTTACAGTGAAAGACAGGGGCCATTTATACAAGTCTCAAAAGTTAGAGGCATCAGCCTGCTGTTCCTCTCTTACTTACACATCAAAAGGGATCTCCCAATTGAATGAACTATGGTAATGATTTTTCTGCTTAAGAGCAAAGCAAGAAATTCTGACAACATGTTAAATATATTTATAGGAAGTCTGCACGCAGGACAAGAAGAGTTGAGGGGACAGAGTGTGAAGAGGGAAAATGTACACATCAGTCATTCAGAAAAGATAAAAGAAATCTTTGATATAGCAGCACTCAAGCAGTCAGCTGTGCTGAGAAGAACTTGTTTGAGATCAACTGCATGAGAACTTGGTTCCAGAAGCATCTGAGAGCCTCTGTCTCTTCAGTAATATCTGTTTTGAGGGTAAATCTTTTGCCCTGGCATTGGCAGATCATTTAAGTATCGCAGCTTCATCCTGAGGAAAAGAAAGACAAGGAAATAACTGTTTGTAATTCATAACTTTGCAACCGGAACTTAATTTAATGCTTTACAAATTACAGAGAACTAGATTATTTTTATTTGAATGTATACACTTGTCATATTAATCATGGTACATATAATAGATGAGCAGCTCTACAGAACTGGAAAAAAAACATTTTCTGGGGCACAGAGGAATTCTGTCTTTCTGCATTTATACATGATGCATAAAAATGTACTGAAACCTTAATATCACCTAAAATAAAAATCATGCATACAGCTGAACTTGCATGAAATGAATACACATAGAGTTTTGTGAATTTGATGTAACTGTGAAGTATGTAACTGGAACACAACTCTTTTGGTTTCTAATTGTCATAGGAGATAGTTCTCATTTATTCTTAATGAATAAAGTGATTCTGAACAGAATAGATTTCAGAGGGGAAAGAGACTGATAAACCCACAAGTAGGTGAGTGAGTGAGTGAGTGAGTGAGTGAGTGAGTGAGTGAATGAGAGAAGAAATAGAAAAGAGACCAACTTGTACTGCACTTATTCAACAACTGACAAGCTGAGGCCTACAGATCAACTTCAAATAAAAGCTGTGTTGTAATACATAAGGTTAAGAGAGACCCTAAGTGATTGCTTTGGATAACTGATTTATTAGACTCTGTCCTTCCATTTCTGAATATTTGAAAGTCACAACAGTGAATAAGCAGTTCTTCATCACAATCTCTGTGATTCACACGTATGGGTGAGTAACAAATTTCTTACCTAGTGGAGACACACTTGGTTGTGAGCACACTGGAGATAAGTTTGCTTTCCTGAACAAGCATTCCGTTGAGACCCCTCATAGGTTTGCCCAGTAGGGGAACCCTCTAAGGTGTATGGTTGAAGTTGCTGCTGTTTTTTATGCAAGTGACAAAAGATATCAATGAAGTAACAGAAAAGCTTAATGGTTGCGGTTCATCTAATTTAAGGAAGACTTGCTGATACCAAGAAGCCCTGACGTGGATCTTGGTGTCTAACAAAGAGATGCAGGTTCTTCTGAGGTGACACAGTGTGGGTTAGACAAAGCACATCCAGATAATTTGATTCCATTCCAACTAATTGCTCAGTTCAAGAAAAAAAAAAAGTGCCAGATGACATTCCAAAATAGCTTTGAGAAGGAAGGAAACACCCAGTGGTAAAACAACTTATTCCCTCTGATATATCAGAGGCAGCTCATCACAATGCACAGCACAAAGTTCACTGATTTTCCATGCCAAAGTGTTGGCAACTGGAAATGCTGTCTTGATAATAAATATAAAAGGCATGAAGCCATTGGCTTGAAGGCCTTTCCATTAAACCTGTCAAAATCAGAGACAAGTTCCATACTAGAGTAAAACTGGATGGGATGGAGAAGTCAAAGATTTGAACAACCTTTAAAGAAACATCTAACAGTAGAATATGTGGAAAGTGACACTCATTGAAAATGGCCTCTAGAAGCAGCAGTAGCTACAAGGCTAATCTTGGGAGAAGAGAGGGAGGGACCCACCAGTCACAGAGATAGGAAGAAGTCCAGAATATGTTTAAGAAAACAATTAAGCAGGTCTATGCCTTAGTGGCCACAAAATTTGAGAACCATTAACATTATAGTTCTTCGAATGTCAGGTTTCTATGCTGCATTGATGATCTAGTGATGCTGAGAACTCAGCCTCTGTGAAGTTCCCAAGTGGAGACTGAGGTTTCAAATGTTAGGTTAGGTTACTGTGTCACCCTTTCTGCATGTAAATCAGGGTAGGGTGTGCATGGTGGCAATGGAACTCTGCTTAAGTCCCAAGGAGGAGAAAAGCAAACGAGGGATAAAGGAGTGATATAAGGGTGCAGTCCTTATTACCACACAGCATCTTCACCGAGACTCTGGTAGGCAAAGAGAACAGTAGAAAGGGATAAAAGAAAGGCATCTGACAGATCTGAAAGTGATGAACTAGAACTGATGCTGGCCGTACTGTAATTCTGAGCATTCTGTCTGTTCTGGCTCCAAACAGTTCTATGTTTGGCTGTCCCTACAGTGAAACAAGATGACAATAACAGTTGGGTGCAGCTGCCAGTCATGAGGTAGCAGGTGATTGACTCAGTGAATCTGTTAAAATGTCCTGACCACAGGGTGAACTGTGATGAGATACATTTTGATTCTACTCTAGTTCTAAATTTGAACCTACAACTGGGTGAGGGATTTCCTAATGGTCTATTTATTCAGGTACCATGTAACTTGTCTAATGTAACTTGCACCGTCTGGTGTCTGTGGACAGGCTCCAAAGTCTTGCATGCTGCCAGGAGCTATAGAAGGCTGATATAGGAGTTTCTGCTCTTTGGGTATCTGCACCCCCTGGATCTGAAGAAAGCAGTAGTGAGCTACCAAACCACTGCAGACATTGGTAGTTGTATATGCACTGGTGGTAAAAAAGGACATGTCCATTAGTAAGTTGTGTTGCTCTATCCTCCTATGGAGCCATGAATGTTGGTTGGCATGGTAAGCATTTACAACAAAAAAGGATATTGTTAAACTCTTCCAAGAAAAAGCAACATGGGTTGCTCAGCAGGAGAAAAACCCTGCCAGTTTCACTGGTAATTGTGCATCTAAAACTATGGCTGACACTATCAACCTTCATCAGCATGCCTGGCTCTACTCCACAGGTCTCATGTAGGAAGCAAGGGCATGTATTAAAGACCTGCTGTTTGACAGAGAGGGACTCTTAGTAGTAAAACTGATGATATCCTCAATTAGGTTCAAAAATTGGTTTACTGTTAAGTGCATGGGCCTGGTACTCTCAACAAGGGAGGCCTCATTGAGCACAAGATATGCACACTACTTCCTAAAGGAGCCATTGGAAGGCTTCCACACTTTAACTGCAATATGAGTTTTGTGATATGTTACAATACTGAGAGAAAATGGTGTGCTTTTATCATTCTTGATCTTTGGAGTGTGAATTATTTCCTAACAATCCAAAAATTCTGTATGATTTCTCACATCCATCCTTCCCCTTCTTGGAAAAGGGCAGTGTCTTCACCAATGGATTTAAAGGATGCCTATTCCATATTACATCATTTTCTGGGTTTTAAAGTGAGGACACAAGCTTATACATTCCATATGCTTTCCTTGGGTTAGCTATTGCCCACATGGGTTCTCCAAAGCTACAGCTGTCATAATAGCTCATTTGAGGTTCTGTGGAATAAGAGGTTATCCTTATTTGGATTATTTTTTGTGGTTTTTGACACATAGTGGCATCATCTTTTAAGTGTGTAGATTATGTGCTTGACCTATCGTCCAATGTCAACTTCTTGTCAACTTAGAAAAGTTTTTATTTGTTGCTTTAAATCCTTCAGATCATCAGCCCCCGCCTGGAATATTGCATTTCTTCCAGATAACAGGTGCAGGTCAGTTGAGGGTCTGATTTTATTTCCATCTCTCAGGACCTGCAATTGCAGGTTCATCTCATTGCTCAGACATATGGCACTGATTATATCAGATGATATCTGTGGATAGTCTCAAAAGGTCTCAAAACCAGGAACTATAGAAGGTTGACATATGAATTTCTGTTCTTGGGTTACCCACACACCATGGATCAGAAAGTGAGTACAATTTTAGGTAACTATAGAATTGAAAGCCAGACATAATGGGGGTACTAATCAAAATATTCCTGACAGCATGAGGTATGAAGACTCTAAGTGTTTGGGATCTGTATTATAATAGCATGCAGTCAAGCCTGATCACTTTGAACCAAGAAAGCATGGTGAAACATGCCTCTGAATTGCAGAATGGCTACAGTGGCATGATTGAGAGCTAAGACAGGTGGAAGACTTACACCTTGTCCTTCTTTCTGGTAGACTCTATCACAGACCTTGTGTTCTAGACAAGCACAGAAAAGTGTTGGAGGGGCTCTTACTGTCAAAGATACCTTGGTTGTCAGATTAGATCCAAGGTCATAGGAAGGATCACTATGAATGATGCATCTTGTCTTCCTCTTTTTGACCCTCAGAGCTGCTTAAAAAGGTACGTTTTAGAAATTGGATTGAGAGACATCTCTTGATATTAGCTGACTGACTGATATCAACGAGGCTATATACACTGACATTAATCAATGCAATAATTGATGAGCCTAGATCTGTGGCCTGCTTGCAAGGTTTAGCAGTGACACAGTAACTGCAAAGTGAGCAGCCCAGAGAGGCTATGAACAGCATAGTCTCTGTTGAATCAAGTGTGGCAACAGCTTGGTCTCGCAGGGATGCCTTTAAGTGGGAAGAGAAGTTTCTGTGGGCATGCCCTGGAAGCGATGGCACAATTTCATGCACAAATGGTCATTCATATAAGATTAAAGTATATTTAAGATGAAGTAGGAACTGCCTATTTTGTTATTGCTATAGTGGTTGAAAGAGGATGGATGGAAATAAGAGGTAGATATGTTAAAGGTGATCAGAATTCCCTCTAAAATCCTGAGTTGGTACATTTGTGGAAATCAGAGATCACAGTGAAGAATCACATATACACTGTACACAGATTTCAGTGTACTGAACAACAGTGTCCAATCCCAATAATCTGTACAACAGCAGTGCCCAATCTCTATGTTATCTTCTTTTAATACTCTTAGGTTCTTGATTTGAGGCACATCCCCTCCCCCTCTCCCTTTATAAATTCCAGCTGAGAACTTCTGCTATGAAAAGGGTTATGATGACACACAAGGATAGTGCATTATCCGTTTATTAACCATCTGGTTAGATTTTCTCAGACAGAAAATTTCAGTGAGAAATAGGATGGCTGGTTGTAAAAAGTGGTAATAGGATGACCATAGTCTTCTTTGGGGTGCTGAGGAATATTCTCATTTCAGGAATTAAATCCTTAAGACGCTATACACCCATTTATACCACTTGCCTCCCCGTTACCCAGCCTATCTGATGCCTCTCAGAATTCTTTTGTTTTTACCTGTCCAAGTGTGATCTAGAGTATAGTGCCATTTATCTGGATATGTAAGTATATGTTCTGGATGGGGAGCGGTTAGATTCTGCTTGTGTAGCTGGATCATTCAGGAAGTCCCAGATAAGGATAGTATCATCATGTGAGCTGCTGACAATTTGAAATTCATCAAACTGGAGTCGAAAAACTCTGCCAGAATGTTCCTAGACAGAGGAAAGACAATCCAAAGTCACACTTTCCTGAAGGTACTCCTAAAGCAAAAACGTCTTTGAAAAATACTTTGGCTATTGTTAATAGATGACCCAAAAGTTGGTTCATAAACTGATTACTTCCATCGGCAACACTTCAGTGCATCTGAAAATTCTGAAACCAGCAGCATGGTTGTCAGGACTTTTAGGACTGTGCAGGCCTTAAAAATAATTTGTAAGAAAATTTCAGATCTTGCATGACCCCAAACTCAAGATTAGCATGAAATTTAAATAATAGCTTCCTTAAAGCAACAGAACCTTTTTTCCAGGCTCTTGCTGAAGCCTGAATCAAACTGGTCCGTTTTAAATGAACAGCAGAGAGGTGTTGCATTCATGTGCGGTCCAAAGGAATTCTTCCAAATCATTTTCAAAATGTGCATAGCCCTAATAATGACTACATAACACAGTACTTATCTGCTTACTTTGACATTTACTAGTATCTTGAGATATCATTGAATCAGTTTTTATTATTTTACAGAACACATTTTCAAGGCATGGATAACTAAGGAGAAAGCTAAAAATATATTGGCAATCTGAACCCATTGCAATCCAGGAGGGTCCTGTATACCAGGCATGTGCAAAACAATTTCTATATGGACTATCTGAATCCCAAAATGGCTAGTTCAGATACAAAACAAACCACATATTTCATGTATTTTGGTTCAAGCACGAAACAGGCTATTCTGGTTCAAGTATGGAACAAAATATAGCTGAATCTGACTCCACAGCACATAGTTGTTTTGGTGATCCATAGATGCTGACAGACTGTCTATACCACCAAAACAGGAATGCTGCAGGTCATAAGGGAGTACTGCAAGCTATTTTGTCTGCAACCACTCCAAAGCATTAATCAGCAAAGGTGATGGACAAGAAGCATATTTCAGCCATGGGGACACATAGGCAGCTAGGTGGTATCCTTCCATCTCTGTGGTAGTTCCAGGCTACCATGTAACTGACCAGTGACAATGCACCTGCTCTCAATCACAAGATGATGCTGGCACAACTGTTGAAGCAACAATCTAGGGTCAAGTAGGAGGGTGGCCCAAAGGTATTAGATGTGGCACATGCTACCACACAGATGACAGTGGATTATCGGTGTGTTAGCATGGTAGACAATGGAGGATTTCGATGCCTCCTCCATCTAGTCATCCTGGACCAGATCCCTTCACATACACTATATTTAGTAGGGAGGTAGAGGCTGCCCTGTATCACTGATGTAGGAAACACTGGGACTACTGTAAGTCTAGCTGAGGTAGTTAAGTGTGCTTCTTGCCTCTTCCTCAACACAAAGAAGGGATGGGAATTGTGAATTGTCTATTCCTATATCAACCGCATCTCCCACAGAGTAGGATCTAAGCAAAGCACGGTGCTGCTTCATAATGGGTTAATTTAGAGTTCCATCCAGTGGAACTTTGCTTAGCTGCTGTCCAAGTGGCTGCTTGAGCAGCAGGTGGCTGTATATGACGTGACAAAGTATCTGATAGTGAGTCCTGGGTGTGGGGACTCATGGCTAAAGCAGTTTCTGCACTAGAAGCATTCACATCGTGTCAGATCTCTTGATTTTTTCTATAAAAATCCTCCAGGAAGAAGATGGACTCCAAGTACTGTAAGAGCTTTGGCAACCAAACTTCACCCCAGTGCTATGCAGTTGCTGAAGCCCTTCAGTTCTGAGTAAGCATTTGTGCTTTCTAGTCTCTGTGACCAAAGAGTGAAAAGGAAAATAGTGGAGAGCGGACTAGACTTCAGCTGGGAGGTAGGGGACCATCCAGTAGATATGATACCAGCAGCAGCAGCAGCAGCAGCAGCAGCAGCAGCAGCCACTGCCCCTAAGGCCTCATTTCTGGTATGGGGTTTTCCTTGGCAGGTCCAAGCATATCAACCTCAACTTGGGGCAGTGCGCTTGGTACACTGCCAGAGAAAAGGAAGGTGATGTCTACTGGCTTGTCATTCCTCACATCTGGATGCTGACTTGGTGGAGCAACTTGCCACTGGAGGGGAATGAGCCCCAGACCCTTACCTCACTGTCCAGATGGGCAGTGCCCATCACCCATTGTCCAGATATTACCAATGGAGGTGGTGGATGTTCTTCCTAAGATGCCAATCATTCACTTATTGGAAGAAAAAATCTAGAATAACTCCCTGGATCATGTTACCCAGTTCCTTGCCCAATCAAAGAGGGTGCACTGACTCTAAGGCCACATGTACTCATAACATATGTATATAAAGCTCTGGTGATTGTACAGACCAGATGAAAGAAAAAGAGGGCTATCCCAACCCCTGAACCTATGACACTCTTCCCATCCCGCCACTGTCTGATGCCTGGAAGGTGAGCTAGAGCTGTTTTTTTTTATAAAGAATCTTATGGGGAAACTGGTCTTCATGTGAGTAGATTGACGTGTAGGCCTTCAAAAGGAAAGTGAAGAAGTAACACCAAATGTGTGTGTTTGTCCCTTTGTGTGGGTGTGCTTTTCACACACATCTTACTCAGCAGAGTGATATTATCAACTGTAAATGCAAAAAGTACAAAATTAGTATGATTGACCTGCTCGGCTTAAGCACATGCACATTCTGTGCATACTCTTGGTTCCTGAGATTCAGGATGCATTTATATAAGCAGTTAATCCTAATTTTTAAAAACATTTTGAACACTCTGCAGACAGCAAGAGAAAAGAGCTTGTACAGAACACACACCTTCTTTTAAATTCATCAAGCCATTAATGTGGTTGTCTTCCCCCTCCCAAAGTTTTATGCGGATGGTGTGCTCAGCTACTTGCACATTAGTTCTTTTGGAGTTTTTGAGTATGAGTGCATTTGAAAATTCATTCCATTGTGGCCTTTTGTTTGTAGAAACTTCAGAATGTAGTTAAAAATGTTACCACTCTATGCTGCATGGCCTGCTAAGCACACTGCGCCTGCTCTTCTGCAGTGCTAATGCAGTCGGTGGTGCACTGCGCTGCAAAGGATGTTTGCACTTGGTGGTTTGACCTGTTTGTTGCAATTCTGCTGTGTCTTTAGCACTTTGTAAAAAGAGTTGTTTTGCTGAGCAAGGTTGTATGCATGACTACTCTTTTTGTTCTGTTACAATGTAAATGACGGCAGTGTGTTAGGGAGAATTGGTTGGTTTTTTTTTTTAATTTCCCAGGGTGTGACCTCTCTCCTGGGCAGCAACACTTCTTTGCTTTACTTATGTTCTCATTCCACCAGGCAGAAACTGTAATTTCTTTTTGTTTGTTTTTGGCAGCCAGCCAGTAGCAGATGTAGGTTTAGATGACAATTTAGATTAAGACGAGGTTTATCTTAAAACATTTTTGAATGCAATCCCATTTGTGTCAATGGATTGACTGGAATTCCTTTTCTTCAGGATGTCCTCTTGCCCTGGAGGTTGTAACTGATTTGAAAAGGGTATATGAAAGGTTAAGGTCTCTATACTCCTTTTCTTCTTCTTTATTTTAAGTAAAAACACTGATCTACCCTTATAAACTTTCCTTACATTTCTTTCAATTATTATATACCAAGGGCAAAAAAAGTAGTACATGGGAAGGCATAAGGCAGCATATGGAAAAGGTAAATTGCTTTCATAATGAAAGTTTTCAGAAATGTTTAATTTTTTCCCTTTGCCAATCTTTCTGCAAACTAGTTTGCTGATAGCACCCAGCATGAATTACTATATCCTATCTGTTCTGGTGACCCTAGATGAAATTAAGAGAGCAAGAGGCTTGTTTCCTCTGACTGAAACACTCAAAATGTATCAATATTTGTTTTAACAAACCACAGAACTCTTGAGCTGGTTCAAGTTTTCTTTCTTTGAACCACAGCCAACTCAAAACAATTTCACAAAATGTAACAGAACATATTTCCATTTTGCATATATTCATAATGTTTAGGGTATTGAGAGTATATTGCTATTCTCTTTCTGCATTCTATTGTTCCTGCTTGATCCCACTAGCCACTCTGTTTTTCACATGCACTATCCAAACCAAGTTACCATCTTCTCTTGTTTAGCAATTCATTTTCTGCTAAAAATGTTGAAATATTCAAAACATTAAGAGCTGAATACATGAGAAAGAACTGGAAACACACTGAATAACTGTGTAAACTTTTGCTGTTGCTAAAATCCTGGCCCCTTTCGTTGGTCTCATCCAGGAAAGCATTTGTTATATTCTTATGCAATGCACATTTTTATATGGACTTTTCTCTTAATGCCTAAAAATTGAACAAGTAAACAGAAACAAATACTTTGTTCATTGGACAACAGAACATATTTCCATTTTGCATATACCCATAATGTTTAGTGTATTGAGAGTATATTGTTATTCTGTTTCTGCACTCTATTGTTCCTGCATGATCCCACCAGCCACTCTTTTTTTTCACATGCACTATCCAAACCAAGCTACCATCTTCTCTTGTTTAACAGGTTTAATTTCAGATACAGAATTTCAGATACAGAAGACAGCAGAATAACAACTAGGACATTTCCCCAAATTGTGTAAACATCTAAAACTTAAATGTTTCTGCCCATCCTTCCTTGGATAAAAGTAGCAGACAACTTTAATGAAGCAATGAAATCTTAGGGTTTGTTCACCTTAGCGGCTTAGCCATGAGCAGCAGGATTCACAATTCAGTCTCAGCTGAAGTGTGAACATAATCACTCAAGGGTAATGGATACTGACTCCCCTAGCACCTCATTAATGCTTAATGAATTCTACTCTGCTTCCAACATTTAATCCTCTGTATTAGAAGGCAAAACAAAATGGTTCTTTTTTTCACTCGCCTTCATAGATGATGAAAATCTATTTAGGGATATTGGGAAGAAGCCATTGATTTGGTGTATTCTATGAAATTTGACTTCTGATAAAGCTGTTTACAACAATGGATATATAATAGTCTCATCAGAGGAAGAAACTTTAGAAGAGGATGATGGGTCAGTTGATCTCACCATGTCCTCTGCAACAAATGAGCCAAACCTAAGCACAGGACCTAGACTAGAATAACTCCCAGCTAGCCTGCAACCATCTGTCCAGGACCTGATCTAGACTATACAGCCACTCAGCCTAGATGCATGGCATTGAATTGAATATCAAAAAGCAGAAAATAACTATGTTATAAAAGAGTCTTTTATACTAGCTTGGTGGAAGTGGACGGCGTTGCAGCCAAATCAGGTTTGATGAACACCAGCTGAGTAAGGAAGAATAGTTACAGTCTTCAGTATAAAGCTCTCTATGTGGGAGCACTGCATTACTGGAAGCAACTATTGCTTCTGTGATTGGCTACTCTTGCAACTTGACTGTGGGAATTCCCTCATTTACAGGCGCTTCATTCTGGACTCTAAATTTCACTCTCTTTCAAATTTCACTGTTTTGCTTCTAAAACTTTGAATAGGACTATTCTTTTTGCCTGCCTGGTTATGAATAACCCCTTTTGTAATTAGGCCTTAGATTGTACAATAGTGCTTTTCCTCTGCTAATCCCTAACTTCAGTCCAGAATTGGACATGTAAGAACTACAAATATATATTTATCTTTACTGTATATAAGTCTTAGACTATGGTCTGATACCACTATTTTATCTTCATATTCTGTATCTTTTCCACTTTGTGCAGTGATGAATTCTAACATTAGGGCTGCTGTTACTTTATATATGCCTCATCTATTAAAAACTTAATCAAAACAGATGCTGTCTTTTTTGTGGAGGAGCCAAATTTCACTCCAAATACTTTTAAAACTTGTCTTTAGATCCAAGCTCTAATTAATCTGGATTTAGTGAAGTGACTGAGAAATGGCATATCACATTGAAGGGATATAGCAACTAGAATGTCTAGTTACTTCAGCCAACCTCGCCAAGACACTATAGGAGTGTAGTTCAGTATGCTATGGAGCATTACATTACCTATTAACTTCTCTTTCCTGTTATTCACCAAACTAGAGGAGATTCCATTATGCCTTAATACTAGAATGCACTCAGTTGAAAGCTCTTACCACAAGAGTGCGCAGGCAGAGGGTTCCAGCAGGGGCACGGGGATCGAGTGCAGCCAGCAGATCCCAGACTTTAATTTTTCTGATGAAAGGAAAAACAATAGACAGAGTTTTCTCAAAAAGCAAGTATAACTTAAAATTAACTGCCCACCCCCCCAACCAACTGAAGTCAATTTAATGATTAATCATCTTCCTTGGGAAAAAAAAAATAGATAACTCAGTTAAAACAATATCCCAATCTACAAGAGAGAAGCACATGAAGTATCCATTTCTTTAGAACTCTGCATTTCTACTCTAAGTCTCCTTTCTGCCTACATGACTTACTATGCTGTTAGAAGAAAAAGATTAAAGGGCGCTAAACCTTAGCCTAATGACCAAAGAATAATTATGCTGTGTAGCTGCTCCATGAAATTCCTATAATGAACCATGCATACTGACATTAAAAAACCCAACTGGAAGCAACTTTAGTAACAACCAAGCCAATCATGAAAAGTTAGTGGAAGGAAACATAATCAAGCATATCTGTGGAGAGCCACGTGGCTGAAATGTCAGACTAGGACCCATGTTCAAGCCCACTCTGAGCCCTGGAAATTCACTGGACAGCTTTGGGCCAGTCCAACCTATCTCACAGGGTTTTCTTATGGGGAAAATTGGAGGAGGGAGTGCTATGCCTGCTACCTTGAACTCCTGGAGAAAAGGCAGGGGATGTAAATTTAACAAACAAAATGTGTCAAACCAAACCTATTTGTTTGATAGCTACTTAGCCATGATCCTCATTTGATCATTCTCACCAAGTCACTGACTCAGTTCATTAGAATAACAAAGACAACTTCTAAATATGAGAAAATAGTTAGCAGCTTCCTTACTAAGACCCAGTCTGTGTCCTTTTTCTTGCTCAAAAATAAAGAGGGCCAGAACAGAAGGAATGTGTTAATTCATCTGGCTAGGGAAATATAATAATATGGAATTTCTGATTTAAGCTAGCTGGTCTTACAGGTACAAGAAATAATTAAGAGATACTATAATATAGTGAAATATGAATATTGGGACACTGAGAAAACATTGACTTTTGATTATTCTGATTCATTCCTTACTCACATGAAAATGGAAATTATAGCAAATTTGCATCTTTAACCTTTCTCAGAACATCAAACAGTTCCTTTCACCTCCACCGTTACCATTTTCTGTATAATCTATGAAACAGAAGGGCTCCTATATTCAAATAGCCGTATTTGTGGCATAGAAACCTGCATAATCAGGATTTAAATGGGAAAAGCAAGCTCCAGACTCCAGAATGTCATTCTTCAAAAGGTGTGCCCAACTTGGTGACAGTAGTGGTGATGGAGAGTAGCTCAACCCTCAGGGCAGGATTATAGAACAATCTGCAGCACCTATTATCATGATTTTCCTATCCATATATATAATGTGTAACTAGGATATAAAGATCGTGATTTCAAAATTAACAGGCAATAACCACTTCTATTCAAGAAAGAAGGGACAAAAATAAAGTTGAAAATAATGCACCTCCAAGGTTTTTGCAAGCTCAAGAATTAACTATGCTATTGCATAGCACATCTGGAATGTCAGCATTTCTGGTTAGTACTGATGAGAATCTTGTAGATTTTAAAAGTGCATGTTTTCTGTGGCACTTTATAGCTATGTTCCAGCCTCTTTGTTGGCTTTCTGTAGTAGCTTTCTGATTTTGTTTAGATAATAATTCTTACATATAAATTTGCATGCAGCCTCTTTGACATATCCTGCCCAGGCTAATTTCTTCCAAATAACCTATATAATATTTTGCTGTATATTGTAGCAGACTCCTCAGCAGAACCTTCTCTTTCTCTGTTCCAATAGTAAATATGATGCTCTAGAAAGAGGAATCTTCTCATCTTTCAATACTGATCAAAAAGGGTATATGAAAGCTGCATGTGAATTACGACTGATCCCCACCAATGGATTTAAGTTTAACAGCTGGTCTCAGAAAAAGGAAATTGTGAAGCATAGTTGTAAAGCAGTAGAAGTTAAGAAACTATTATTTTGAAAGACAGCTTGTAGCAGAAAGGCAAGTTAATCAGCCTATCACAATGAAAAGCTGATTCTGGGCTGAGATTCTGCAATAAAGTTGAATCAGCATTTTACAAGCAGTTTTGAAAGCAACTGCTTAATGGGTACAAAAGGTAAGATAAGTAGGAAGATACAAAACAAGAGATACTGTGCAAATAAAAATAACAATAATGGAAATTAGGTATTTTGAATATTCCAACAATTATATATAAACACTACCCCCTTCTTTTGTTGGTTTCAATAAGATGCCAATGAGAATACTATAAAAAGTTGATAAATAGCAAAGTTATGTTATTATAGCAAACAGTTGTACAAAACCTGTAATATGATTTCTTCCCATTTTTTTAATCTACTAGCTGAATGGATCAAATTGTTTTCTTTTTTTGCAGTCCACAGTGCAGGCAGATTATTTTTTGATGAAGTGGTTTGATTTGTCAGAATAAGGTATTTCTAAATTTCTAGTTTTCAGGATTTAAGTCAGTTTAGGATAAATGAATAAGATATTCATGAGATATATCTCATCATTAAGTTCTTACCCATCATAGGCTCCACTGACTATCCTCTTGCTATCAAAACGAATGCATCTCACCAGTTCTTCATGGCCTTCCAAGACCCGCAAACAGGCCCCACACTCAATGTCCCATAATCTGCCGGAACACAAGAGAAATAATCATCATATGTTTTAAAACTCTATAACTGAATTACAAATTGCAAACTGAACCTGCTTAATAAAAACTGAAGTGGGAGAACTTGAAATATATCTAAATTCTTATTTTGTATCCAGAAAATATCAATGTTCAATGCAAAAGCTGACTTCTTTCATTTCCAACAATTTCAGGAATAGCTGAGATGACCTTAAGTCACTATTTGACTTGCTATTATGATTAAATGAGGGACAATACATAATTGAATCCAGATAAATTGGCAATAGTGGCCCATGTGAACTTGAGATAAAATTTTCATATTAGATAATAGTATATTTTTGCTGGAAACTGAGTTTGTTATTGGAAAGAGACTGAGATGGGAGCATCCCTCTACAGTTACATCTAAAATGTCTGTTCTTGGATGAAACATGCTATTATCAACCTTGGTAAACTTTTAGGCTACTATCAAATTGCAATGCATGTGATGATCATTTTTTGAACTTCTTCACAAGTGTCTGCTAATGCAGCTATTAATTTATAAGTGAAATTGAAAGAAAGGAACATATTTGCAATGGCAGACTCATATTAAAGTGATCATTCTTCAGCTATAGTTATTATTAATCTGAGTATAGTGCACCTAATGCTTATAGTTCAGTATCCATTATAATACAACTAAAAGTTGACTTATTACTTATATGAATCTTGCATAACAAAATCTATAATTAGATAGTGCAAACCAGTTACTTAAAAGAGAATCCTGAATTTAAGGATTTGTAATTCAAGTCTGTAGGACTGTTGCCCTAGGGGAGCAGGTGTTATTATGCACTTTATGACCTATGGATAAAAAGACAGTTGTTACACATTTTATGATCCACAGAGCAAATGGCTATATAACTGAATGATCTAAAAGTGTCTCTTTCTGAAAGATAGTTCACTTTTACTTCATTTCTACTCTCTGAAAGTCCTCTGAAATGCAGCAATCAAAGTGCTTTTAGGTTTGTGCTGAGGACTTTTTTATTTCAATGTATTTGTGGGAATGTGAAGAAGGAAAAAGGATGAATAGAGGAAACCTAGATAAGTAGAGAGGTATTCAGGAGATTTTTCAAGCAGATGGAATTCACAGTTTTATCAGCTGACTCTATGGCAGAGTCTTCTTTTTACTTTAATATTCTCTCTCCCTATAAAATAGGTTTTAATGCTGTGGAAAAGTGATCAAAGTAATTTTTCTGAATGTAGGGTCATTCTTGCCAAAAATGCATATAAGAAGTTGAAATGGATATGATAAACAGTTATCATATCCACTTCAACTATTCCAAAGAAAACACTGTAAAGATAGTTTGTGACGCTAGCCAAATTTAGTGTAGTGACATAAATTTTAGCTGAGTGATTATGATTTTATTAGTAGCTCATGCTTGGCCCATTGCCCTGCTCATTCTAGCTAACTCTGAACAGGAACTGCAGCATTAAGTAACAGTGTCTAGCCATTCATTCCTCACATTTGGCCATGGTCACTGAATTCTAGAGAATTAAATTTCATTCTGCTTTTGAGAATTCAGTGTAGATTCTGTTAAAAGCCCTACAGTACACATAATCAAGAGTGAGGTGGTAATACAAAATACTGAAATTATACTCAAAAAGTTTACAATCCACATTCAAAAGACAAGAGAGGGATGGGAGAAACACTCTGCAAACAAATGTTTGAATATTAATTTTAAGAAGCATATAGGTCAACTATGCACTCAACCTGAATTCTGCTGAGATACAACTGCCAACTGCAGCAAAATTCCAGCACAAGATTTTTATTCCATGTAAGCAGAAAAATAATTGTATTCCTCTTTAAATTTATTACCATATTGACATTTATATTAGTTTATTTTACTGTATGTGGTACCCCTGGTTGCTTTTCAAAGCTCCACAATGTTTAACTGTTTCTTGGTGGGGTTACTACTGGTGTTTGTGTTTTCCAAATATTATACTTTTAGGTTTATCCTGTTTGATTCTTTTTCCTAAATAAAAATAAGGCAAAATCTACTCCTACACTTCCAAGATCATAGCATCAAACAAATCTATATCAAACCAGCTCTCTGACCTTAATTCCATAGAATTACACACAGTAGGAAAAGAATTGATACCCTAATTGGATTGAGCCCTGTTGACCTAATAAAAAGAGTTACCTTAACAATGTTTATAAACTTAATGAAGTTTACAGCTTTAGACTGCTAGTAGCAATTTTTTTAATTGACCTTAAGCATCAACTCAAAGCAAGCTTGAAATCATGTTATTCATGGCTGGTGTAGAAACTCTATGCCAACACACGAAGGCACTTTTGTCTAAGAAACGTAACAAGGATTGGGATACTGTCATTGGTGGAAAGAAGAACACCTAAAGGGAAGAACATTTTCCAATAAGACTACCACTATTTGCATCAAAAGAAAGATTGGGCTGGGGAAAAACCTGCGCCTGTAGAGAGACAGTTCACTTTTAAAAAACTAAGATAACTTTAGTTTTTACTAAATTAGTACTGTAAAGTGGATTATATAAGACGACGTTGCTTCCTACTTATTTACTTCCTTATTCACAATCACTTCCCAAGCAGTAGATTTTGCCTATCATTTGCCTTCCTGTCAAATCCCAACCAATCGTCATCATCTGAACAACATTTCAAAAATGCACTCTTTGTACTAATGCTTGGATTATTTCCAGTGAAGGCAGAGCAAGCGGACTCCCTGAGTCCAGGCCACCTGTTTTAAAAGGGGCCCAAAATGGGGAAAAAATAAGTTGATAAGTATCAGTTCGGTTTAAGAACAGTATTAAAAACCTCTTAGTGCAAATCCAACTTTTTAAGTAGTTAAACCAACTGTGAAGGAAAGCAATTTTCAAAACAGCCCACACAAACTCGTTCACACATGACATTTGGAGATAGTAGTCCATCTTTATGTTGGCTTTTAAGTCCCACAGAATACAAAGCAATCTAAATAGCAGTTGCACCTACAAAACTATTTTTTTAGAAACATAAATATAATTCAAAGCTATGTATCATAAATTATTTGATTAAGTTTGTTCATTGTTTATTTTGCAGTTTTGCATTATGAGGCAATCACAGAAGATTTTAACTTTTACTTCTTGTAATTCTAATGTTGTTATGGTCAAAATATTTCACATGCTTAATTTGGATTAGTGTGACCAAACCACTATGGCTTGTAAACAATGGGTTTTTCCCCTTTTGGGATGGGTTTGCACATCAACTAAGCCAAAAATAAAAAAATAAAAAATGAATGACATAAAAGTCTGATTCATACATAGCACTAAATAATTAAATGCAATCTCCAATGTAGCAAATGTACCAGACAAACAGAAAGAGAATACATATATTCCAAACAACTTATTATAAACAAATATGTGCAGCAGTCACCTAACGCTTCCATATTCCTCTAAAATAAGAAATGATGACTATAGAAAGGATCCAGCATGCACACACACAGAAGCTTTATTTCAAAGTAGCTTTCTGTTGGCAAAAGTTGTTATTTAGATATACCACTGCTATCTGCATGTCTGTCTGCCTTGACCCAAAGAGAGGCAGCACTAGTCAATGCTAATCTTATACTTCATACCTAATTGTATTATCAGATGAACCACTGACAACTAATCTATCTCTATACTGTAGGCATGCAATGCCTCGCTTGTGGCCATTTAAGGTACGCACGAACTCACAGGTACTCGTGTTCCATACCTGTAAAAGACACAAAAAGAAAAACGATTATTTTGGAAATATTATATATACAACAGGTATTTGTATGAGAAAGCCTTATATTGTTAATAGAATCAGAGTGATGAAATGGTTAGAGTGCTGGATTAGGATTAAGGACACCCTGTATCAAATTATGACTTAATTTATGGAGTGACTTTAGGACAGTTACACATTCTTCCAAGTCTTACCTATTCACTATATTCCTTAAAGGTAGAATATTAATGAAAAAAATATAATAAATAAATACATATTCAAAATCATACTGATTTCAAGGTTTGCACCTTTATAGTTCTATCCCCTGATGCTGACACAATGTATTTGTCATCAAAGTCTACCACGTTGACGGCTGCTCTGTGTCCAACCAGAACCCTTCGCAGAGTAATGTCTGTTGGGGAGGCCATGTCCCAAACAGCAATGGAACGATCTTTAGAACATGTTACCATCATGCCATTATTAAAGCGCAGGTGCAGTACCGCTTCACAATGATGGATCAGTGTGTTGAGCATCTCACCCGTATTTACATCCCACACTCTGGAATTCATGACAAAAGAGAAGATGGAAAAAAGAAGATAATGAGCTTCCTATAGTAATTATAAGCTTCCTATCATTACATGAAGCATCACAAATCTCTTGAAAAATGTGATAAATGTCAGGCTATAAGCTTACTTTGAGAGGAATGGTTTAAGTAGCACATGTGAGATGAAAAAAACCCTGTACCAATAAAAGGACAATCTTCCTCTGAGTAATTTTGTAAAACAGGACATTCTTATATCCATTTTAAAAATATATAATAAAAACATTTCTTAACTAAATGGTTTGATATATAGTGTTCCAAGAACTCCAATCTTTGGAATAGATGGTGAATTTCTGTGCTTGTGGGAATTATGCAGTGTCCGAATGCTTCTCTAAAAGTTTCTTCCAGAGCTTCTTCCAGAGCATATAGTCTAGGGGGTCCTCTTGGACTCACAACTCCTACTCAAAGAGCAGGTGGCAGCTGTGGCTAGGAGGGCCTTTGCTCAACTTTGTGTTGTGTGCCAGTTGCGCCCCTTCCTGGATTGGGAAGCCCTTCTCTCAGTCACTCATGCCCTGGTCATCTCCCGCATGGACTACTGCAATACGCTCTACATGGGAGTACCCTTGAAAAGTAACTGGAAGCTGCAGCTGGCACAGAATGTGGAGGCACAGGAAGTTTTGGGCGCCCCTAGGGTCGTGCATATAACACCTCAGCTGCATGAGCTGCACTGAGTGCCAGTTTGCTTCTGGGTCCAATTCAAGGTGTTGCTTATTATCTTTAAAGCCCTTCATGTCATGAGCCCAGGTTATCTGAGGAACTGCCTTGTCCCGGTTACTTCAGCCTATCCCACCTGGTCCAGCAGGAAGGGCACGCTGTGGACCCCATCGGCTAGAGAATTTTGGCTGGCAGGGTCTAGGAGGAGAGCCTTTTCTGCTGTTGACTCCACTCTGTGGAATATTGTGCCGCCCGAGGTGAGATTGGCCCCCACTCTTTTGGCCTTCTGGAAGAGTGTTAAGACCTTGCTCTGCTGACTAACGTGGGATCCAATGGAGTTCCCAACACTGGGGGTGTTTAGTGCCTTGAGGATGCTGTTTTTTTAACTTTGTTGTCCTTTTAACTTTGTTTTGTGTTTTTAACTGTTTTTATGCTTTTTATGAGTGAGCCACCTAGAGTCACTTGTATAGTGAAAGGGGTGGCAATATAAATTTGATTTATAAATAAATAAATAAATGAAAATATGCATGGCTAAATCTGAAACCTAGGATTTAAGCTTCTCATTTTCTAGTTTATTTTAATAAAAGCATGTGACAACTGTTTTCCACCTTTATTAATACCGCCTGTCTTTTCTGTTTCAGAGTGACGTTTGACTTGAAGAGCAAATTCAACCACCATTTGAGCATAGGAACTGTACAGTACTCACAATCATAAGCTGAGTAGTCTCACAATTCAAACTTCGCTTTAGACATGGACTCACTAGAAGGTTGCAAAAAACTCTTCTCTTAGCCATATTCCTCCCCCTCATGCCTCTCATCATCTACAACATGGGGCTAACACTATTGTGAGATGAAGCACACATGACTATTTTTACAAACACATGAAACATCTTAGATCAGTGATGGCAAACCTATGACACACCATGATGTTTTGGGTGACACGCCAGCATTCACCAGCACCTGACAACAACTATTCTCCCTGTTTGAGTTACCAAAGAAACTTTGTTTTATTTGTATTTCATTTTTGTAATTATTTGATGTTTCTTTATATAATACATAGCACCACACATGATTGGATTGTAATTTTTTTAAGTAAATGAATATGTAAAGAATTGTTTCTCTTTTGTTTGGGGGGGGTGTGTGACACACCAGTAGTGTCAAGTTAGGCATTTTCCTAATTTTTGACACACTGAGCCCAAAAGGTTCACCATCACTGTCTTAGATCCACCCATGCATGCCAATTCCACGCTCTGATTAAACCCAAGTGCAGGTAGTCCTTGACTTATGACAGCAATTGGGACTGGAATTTCTGTCGCTAAGCAATGTGGTCGTAAAGCACAACTGTATCGCTTAGTAATGATAATCCCTGCAGTCCCTGTAGCTATCATTAACCAAATCCCACTGTTGTTAGGTGAGGCAACTTCCTGCTGGCTTCCCACAACCAAGTCAGTGGGGAAGCCAGCAGGAAGTTGCATGTCCCAGGCAGGCAGGTAAGTGGCTGTTGCCGGGTGGGAGAGGGTGCGAGGGTGTGAGTAGCAAGGCTTGGGCAGGGTGTGCGGGAGGGGCAGCCACAGTTGGGGAGGGTGCGCAGGGGTACACGAATAGCCAGCTTGGCATGAGTACAGAGGGGCTAGGAGAGGGTGCGCAGGTGGGGGAGACTTACCACAGCTACTTGTCACCTTTCCTGCCAGCTTCCCCACTGACTTTCTGGGGAAGCTGGCGGGGAAGGTCGCAAATGGTGATCATGAGGTGCTGCAACTGGTCATAAGTGCAAGCCAGTTGCCAAGCACCCAGATCACAATCAAGTGACCATGGGGATGCTGGGATGGCTGGAACTCTGAGGACCGGTCATAACTACCATTTGTTCAGCGCTGTCATAACTTTGAATGGTCACTGAAAGAATGGTTGTAAGTTGAGGGCTACCTGTAAGATTACCACAATGTATTATAAATGAGAATGCCTATGTACAATGTTTGGAAACATTAACCTAACCCATTGAGTTATTAAGTAGAGCTCACAGGTAAGATCATATTACACAAGTACTTCAAGAGTTCCTCTGGGAACCAGCTTTCTAATGATAACCAATAATGCTTGTCTTAAAGCTCCAAGTGGCTTCAGATTTGGGTTTTTTACAGACTGCCTGTTCTTTTATGGAGGCCTACTGGGTGTGCTTCTATTTTTGGAGGTCAGGAACTACTGGGGACAACATTTTCTCTGTATTAGTGTCCAGAAGACAGAACACATCTCCAACCAAGTTTTATTCACAATGTACCTATTCTGATCATTTTTAAGCATCAATTACAATCTTTCTGCACACCAAAGTTTTTAGTGACACCGAGCTGGTGGAACCAATATAATAAGTAGTTAAATGTTGGGGTTGAACTAGGGAGACTCAGGTTCAAGGCCCTACTTGACCATGGAGTTCACTGGATGACTTGGACCACTCACCCTCTCAGCCCAATGTACCTCAAGAGGCTGCTGTCATGGGGATAAATTTGGAGGCAAATACTAGGTAAGCTGCCTTAAGTAAAGATGGGATAGAAATGCAAATACTAATACTAATAATTCCTTTAACCTCTTTTGTCTGTTTGTTGGCAGCTGGCTATATTAACAAGCTATTTTAAAAATATTCACTCTAACTAATCACAGTGTAGGCTGTCATGGTGGTCTATATTTGTCAGAAAAAGAGAACAAATACATTTTTTAATGAATAGTTAGCTACCTGACAGTGGAATCTGATGATCCAGTGATGATTACTCGCTCATCATACTGGAGACAAAGGACTGACCCAGTGTGTCCAGTCAGAATCCTCTTGCATTCTAAGGTATTTTTGTCCCAGATCTAGGAAGACAAGGGAACACTAAGATTTTATCACAAAGTAACAGACTGTACTGCTATATCGTCTCTTCTGTTTCCTACAACACAGCATTTTCTTTACTAAGGCAAACAGAACTTCTTTAAGTAGCACACAACGCACTTTGTATTCCACAGGCACTTTGGAGCAATATAAACTATCCTTAATATCTCTGTTTTTAATATGAACATCGTATTTACTCTTCTCATTAGGGAACAGAAAGACTTTAATTACTGAAGGTCCAATAATATGGTTAGCCATGAATATAGCACAAGAAAATGAAGCTGATATTACAGATGTATCCTCCTTATTTGAAACTGATAAAAGAAAATCAATACATTTTTAAGTCAAACTCAGCTGAGGTGGGGTGTGGAAAAGCAGCTAGTTTTTCCCACGCATTTCCTCTTCCAAATGAAGTTACATTTCACATTCTTTTGAAGAATGGCTTCATTCCGTTATTATGTTGGCATTCTCTTGCAGAATAGATTTTGTGTTCCATTGTTGCACACTGGGGAACTCTCACCTTGATAGTATTGTCTCGTAGACCACTCACTATCTTCTGATCATCATACTGTAAACAATAAACACCTTTGCTAGTTTCACTCCTGCAGTGGATTCTTTGTAAGCTGTGCCTTCCACACCGCCAGTTTGATTCTATCGTCTGGGGAAGAGGGAAAAACAATTTTAAAGTGTGGAACAAATATAGAAATTTTGCACTGCTACACTCATGGGACAACAGAAGCAGCTCTAATGCTGAACCCGTTTATCATTAGATACTCCCAAATGTGCTGGGAGAAAAAAAGGACAGTCTTGTTTCCTCTCCCAACCTTCAGCTTCCCACAATATTTTAAATCCTTCTAAGATTCCATTGTTGTTTCTAAAAATCAAAAGCATTAGCTATCCAGGATATAGTAATGTAGGGTATGCATGGAAAATTGACTTTTGTGTTCCTTTAAGATCCATGTCTTTTCTCAATAGCTGTAGACTAAAAAAGGCAGGATATAAATGTAATAAGTTTGACAGTTTCTATTATTTTTTCCACATTTTATTTACAGTAAGCATGGAAGAATGATTAAAATATATAGCATTTATGTAATTTTATTCAAAATTATAAGGCTGGTCTGGTTTATATTTTTCATTTTCACTCAAATTCTAAATTAACTTCTTAATACTTAAGTAGGAGTTTGGAACGAGGGCTCTTCTTGGCCTTTGAGTTGTATGTTGGGACCCCACTACAAAAAGTGGACCAAGCTGGGGCAAATTAATTAATAATACTATTACTATGATTATCTCTCATGTCTTTAATAATTTCCCATACTGACATAATAAAAATACAAATTTGAAACATTTAAAGAGGCTTTGGGAGTTGTACCCAAGGTTTTGAGGGGCCACAGACAGTGTATCTCTGCACCAAAGTATCTGAACACCCTGCAATGAACAGAGAAACCAATTACAAATTAATCTAGTCTGTAAGTGAATAAGTGATTCAAAGGCTAATCAGTGCATGTTTATCTGAAGTAGTTATATGATTTTAGCAAAAAGGTATAGACTATTTATTCCTTTTTAACTCTATGCAAAAGCTGTAGAATATCACATTTGGCTGGATGTAGGAAAGTCATATATGAAGCATTCCAAATGAGTTCAACTTCATCCCACCCCAACCCACTCCACTATTTTCCTTCATGTGTTTTCTCTGGCTCTTACCTCTATATCTTGTATAATTTTGGGATAAAGTGCTCTGTAGAATGAGTTGGGTGGTATTATCCCATCAAGTGGTTTGTTTTTAAAAATATATTGTCCCCTTAAAGAAACAAAGAAATGAAGTATTATTAATTTTAGTTGTCTAGTATAGGTTACTTTGTACAAGGATGCTTAAGAGACCTCAAACATTCCAACTGCTTGGTAAAGAGAAAATCCATTATAAAAAAATTAGGAGAGATGGTTTATTCTCCCCTTTAATAATGCCTTTTGAAATGGAGCAATTTCACTGAAAGTTACTTAAGCACATGTATAATTTAGCACTGTCAAAATGCATCTAAACAAAGTTGCACATTTTTCTCATGTTATGGGAATGAAATGATTATGAATGAAAAAAATAATAATAAAGAAACTGCTGGAAAAATGCCTACAGGTGTCACTTCATCTTTTTTGATAAGGAACACATCTTTGCTAACTGTCATTGAACAACAGGGGGCAATAATTTGTTTCAGTGTTAAAACTAGTGTTTTATGTCATAAATGCTTTAGGAGAAAGTTTCAAAACTTTCTTTCCACAGAGTTTCTGATTCTGTTTTCAAGAAAACTGGTGAAATGGTTTCTTCCAAAGGTTAAATTCAGTGAAATGCAATGTGTGGGTGAAGGACACATATAACATCTCAGCCCTTTCCTTTCAGACCAGCCTCAAGACTGTACCACTGAAACCGAGGAACCAAATCTCATGCTACGGCAACAAATGTTTCCTATTTTTTACAAATAAGCAGTAAAATGGATGTATTAAGCTTCTAATAGAATGTGCACATCTATTTTAGTAGACAACATTAAAGAAAATATTCAAACCCTCAAAAATGTGAAAAAGAGCCAAAAAAAAGAGCCCCCCCCCCAAAAAAAACCCCTATGTCTTGTAATCTGCTGCTAGAGAGGAATAATATGCTTTTTTTTTTTCATCTGCAACTCACTGAGAAACACTCTTTTGCAATTTTAGACTGGCTTTAAAAATTACTTAGGTTGCCTCTATTATATAGGGACATTTAGGTAAGAGATCCTAAAATGAGAATGACATCTCATTTGGTGAGCAGAATATTCTTTACAGTACAATTGCTTTGAGACTAAGCCTGATAGTAAAAATTATCAGTCAATTCACAGTATTAAAAATACATTTTACTGGTTCTTCTAACTACTGGTAAACAGCACGGCTTCTTCCTCAAACTAATCTGGTTTTGGAATGTAGGTGTTTTAAAGAACAATGGGATCAAATTTCTCCAGTGGTATCGTTTTTAAAATATTCTCATTTTAAAATTAAGGGACCACCCAGTACTGTGCAGAAACAAAGAACTCCACAACTGACATGTTTATGTCCTTGTAAAACAGAGATGGGCACAAATCCATGAGTACAATCCTAGCATCTGATGTATGACATCTAACCTAAATCTCTGCTCTCCTTTTCACTGCTGTCTTGTAATAATTCTCAGACCAGTTTATACCTATGTATCCCTCCCTTGCTATACACCTTGAAACTGTATTAAGAAGCCTCTTCATACATGAGATAGTCTGAAACATGCAAGGTACACTATCTAAAAAATTACAGGAGTCATAAGAATCTGGATAAAACAACCATTCAAAACTTTTAATCCTCAATTTCCCAAAATACATTTTGTAGAATCACAAGGCCTTTACTGCTGTGAAGAACATTAGGAAACAGAAATGCTGGAATTTCCTGAAAATATATTAGTAAATAAAACATTCAGCTAGGTTACAAAATGATTTATCACCAACATAGTTTCTACATATCACATTGGATATATGGTATTTTGCATCATGGGCTTTTGACAGCTTATTACTATTTTACATTTTCATGCGGGGAAGTGGAAACTACAGCAGATATGCTACTTGATTATTCCTTTGCAGCTATAATGAATCAGTTTTGTTAAATCTACTAACCACTGATAAAAAAATTAAAAAAAGAATAAGGGAAAAAACACATGTGGTTTAAAAAAATCATATAACAGCAACTGTGGACTTTGTAGGTAGCTTTGGGGGGGGGGCAATTTACTGAGAAATTAAACAGAATGAAATAATATGTGACACAGGGGCACTGACCCTGATCAGATTTCAAGCTGTCTGCATTTCTCTAGCAAAGCATCACATTTTTCAAACCTCCATTCGTTGTGTGTGTACAGCTCAGCAATCTCCTAAAAATATTTGCTTTGTTATATAGTAGCAAGTATACCTCTTGCCTTAATAGTTATTTCTTCTCCTAAGGAGAATCAAAGAGAGGACAGATAGTGATACAGTTTAGGTATATATTATTAAGTAATTCATAACCCAGTTTCTAAGGCTAGAGAAATAATGATTTTTTTCTCTCATGCTGGGAACTGAACTTTAAGAAATAAATTTCTAATATTATCCTAAAGATGATAGAACCAAAGGATACCTGTTATTGCTTATACATTTCACTGCTCGATGTGTTATCTACATGCTATCAAGATCTCCACAGATGGAATTTGATTTATTTCTTAAACTAAACCACATTTGCCTATATTAAGTTCTGAAGATGAAGATGCTGGTGATTGTCTGTCTGCCTTTAAAAGTACCATGTAAAAAAGCAACCTGGGTATAATTGCTAATAATATTAGATACAGAGCTGCATTTTAGAAAACCTAAGAACATTTTACAAGGATTATTTGTTTTCCTAATCTATTGAACTTCAACATATTAATGGTATCAAGGCTTTTAATAGAATTTGCACTTGCAAATTTGTGGCATTATTATTATTGTTTAAATAAATAGAAGCTAAAATGCCTTAGCTATCACTTTGTCTTGTTTATGAAATATTTATATCCAAATCTCTCACAGAAAACTATGGAGGCCCAATGAATAGAAAATTATGTGCTAAGGGCGTTATCCCAGGAGGGAAGCATCTAATAAAATGTTAATAGTAGAACATCAGACTTGGTCCAGCATATGAGACAAATGATGTAAACTATCTGAATTTCAGATGATAATGCTTAGTGGTCAGTATTCCAGGTTTTATGAGCAAAGATTACACATATCTCCAAATGCAAAGGTCTGCTGAGAAAAAGAACTGATATCCTATTCATAACATAAATAACATCTATTTCTGATTTCTAGAAAGTTGTTTACTCATTATATAATTATTGGATTTTGACTACTCTTTAGGCAAGTGTCACAGACTAGTCTTAGTTATGGGAAGGAAGAATACTATACCTGACTGATTTTAATATATACACATCCCACCACTCAAATCCCTAAAAGGTGCTACATCTATTTGTTACACTGGTTTGAAATGGTATAATTTGAGAATTGTAAAGTGTAATAGGCTCAGTTAAATCCTGTGGTGCATTCTTTGCCTTTCTGCCTCTAGGCTAGCAGATGAAATATTTCTGGACAAAAGTGCTAGTTGAGAAGAAAAAGGTGCAGTTAAAAAAAAAAGATGAGCTCTCAGGAGTTTTGACAGAATGGTACATCTCTGACATTAGACAAGTCTGATAAAAGGTTCTCCATGCTACCAATGTGGCCATCCACTCTCAGTGCTGGATCCAGAAAGACATCCAGAATACAAACTTGATCCTTAAAGGGGAGTGAAACCCTATCCAGAAGAAGCATGCCTTAAATTCCTGCAGCTTCTGGATTTTAAGTGGATATAAAGGGCCAATTAAATTTCTGTGTGAAGAGAAAAGGTTTTCCCACCAAATGTTTGAGATCTGGTTTGGAGAGAAAATGAAGCAGCAGCAGCAGCAGCAGCTGAGAGAATGACCACCAGGAAACTTAGGACCAATAACTAGAAAATAATGGGCACAGAGATGACAGAGCCATCTGAAAAGAAAAGCACTAAAATTACCGCTTATATCAGAAGGAAGCAGCACAGCTGGGGACAGCTGAAATCCCACCATTGCAATGCTAGATCAGTATTGTTAAGGGACACCAAGATGAACCTCTTATAAGGCAACAGGGTGGTAATCCCTGTTGCTTGTGAAGAAGTGCTTTTGTTTTACCAGAATCCTACATTAATCCTAACTGCCTGCCTTTACTCGGTGACCATAATAAGAGCATTTTTGGAGAGGGGTGGGGGAGTAAGAGAAGAAAGAGAGGCCTGACAAATATTCATGTTGGTAATCTTCTAAGAAAACCTACTGCCTAAAGTGAGCAGCTAAATTATTGGACCCTGCCTCCTGATCAAGGTGATGTGCCTGCTGCCAGAGGCTTCTGGAATGACTTCTGAAATCAAAAGGGAATATATATTCTCAGAGAATAGTCACAGAAAAAATAAGAAATATATGGCAGAAGTTAAAGGGCATTCTCCAATTTTCAGATAAAATGAATGATCAGACTATCACTGGCATCTACTTCTACTGAGCAGATGTATATTTGATGCTCTCACCATCCTCTCCGCTCCGCCAAACCCCTCCACAATGAGTCAGTACGGACCATCCTCTCAATCAGTTTCTTCCACAGCATACCATCAGATGTCACCCGGTACCACTCCTTGCACACCAGCTCAACGGAACACAAAGATTTGGCATCCAAATATGACAGAATATTCTCAGCAATGTGATCCAGGCCTCGAGCTGGAAGAAAAGTAAAGGCAGTTAGTGTTCACTGGGGAGCTCACTAGGAGACCACAAGAGTTACAAACACATTGTCATCCTCATCATTGCTCATTCCATTTCTTGTATTAAGAACTGGAATGTCTGGGTAGAGTACAGTTAAGTTCAGGAATGAGTAGCTTCCTTTGGGTAGGAAACAGCAAAGCATTTAAGATGATAAAGAATTCAAGAAGTCATTCCAATCTATTTCTATTGGTTTTAGCACTAGAGGGATGTTCTATGGAAGACTTTTCTCACTTGATGCATTCTGCAAAATCTTGCTATATTAGGACCATTTCTCATTTTGCTACTGCAGCTGTTCTTGTATTCCAACAGCTCAAATGCTGCTTTTTGCTAAATTCAAAGCCTTTCAATGCAATGAAGAATATATGTTCCTAATATGAACCCTAAAAGAAGCAGTACCTGGTAAGAAGAGTGGTGAGACTGCCTGTAAAAAGTTGATATCTGTCTATCTGTCTGTCATTTATTTTGTCGGGTTAAAACAGAAAACAACATAGACACTAGAACATTGCCAGTTGCAAATATTTTGCAGAAATTAGAACAATTTGAGAATGCATCACATATTGCTAATGTTATACCGAAGAAAACTTAAGTAGACTACAACCACAATCTAATCATGTAATGTGATATGGTATTCATTTAGAAACTCTTCAGTTAGATATGGTTTTTTATTAACTCACTGTCTTGCACATACTTTAACATATAGAGGACTCAGAAGAATGAAGAAAATAGAACAATTTGAGAATGCATCACATATTGCTAATGTTATACCGAAGAAAACTTAAGTAGACTACAACCACAATCTAATCATGTAATGTGATATGGTATTCATTTAGAAACTCTTCAGTTAGATATGGTTTTTTATTAACTCACTGTCTTGCACATACTTTAACATATAGAGGACTCAGAAGAATGAAGAAAATTTGCAATTATTCACTTTAAAAACCTCACTTAACTCTTTGGCACTACAAGAACAGCCAAGTGGGTATTCAGGAGAATTTGGGGGGTGGGGGGCGTGAATCTCAGTCAGCTAAATTTGGATGCATTCGGTCATTAACAAACTGTTAATGACAAACTGTTAAAAACTGTTTTAGAATGAGCAAAAGGAAAGTTAATCTAGATTATAAAACATGTATATTAAATCCTCAGCATACTTTTTAAACAATTTCTAATAGAGGCCCATAGTGTTCAAAATATTATTGTGGAATTTCTCTCTCTCTCTCCCTCCCTCCCTCCCTCTCCCTCTGGCATCATATAGAGGCTTTAGGAAAGCATTTTTATAGTTATTCTGCTTCATATTCAACTATAATGGAAGGAAGCAGGTTGAAGTGCAAAAGATAAGAGAACAATGTTGCATCAACTAACAGAGGAAAGTAACTTTCTGGAGTTCTTGGAAAATGTCATCATATGGAAGTCAAAGTAACAGAGGTAACAAAGAAAAGAAAATAGGTGAATCAATTTTAAGACCTACACAATAGATTCTCACATAAAAATGTGTAAAAAAGTGGTTGCAGGAACACAGAATTTCAGTTTCTGCCTTATAAAGTCAGATCACTGGTACTTCAAGATCAGAATTACCAGCACTAAACTATCTAATAATGACTAAGATTTCAGTTAATTGATTTATTTTGTTCATTCTGGAGATACTATAGCTAGAATGTACAACTTCTTTATATGCAAAGAATATTTATTTATTTAGGAGATTTATGTGGCAATCCACCTTACAAACATAACCCTGGGTGGCTAACAACAATCCACAAAAATGTAATAAAACCTCTATCCACAAAATATAGAAACGTAATTAAAATAATCATAACACCATAAGCAAGACACCATATAATAGATGCATACATAACACGTAGCTCAGTTAGCATCTTGGCCCAATCCCTGGGAGAACAGTCAGGTTTTCACAGCCTTCCAGAAGTCCCTCTGGATTTCAAGAGGGAGGCTGTTCCATAGGCAGGCATCATGACAGGCATGTTTTCTAGGTCCCACCAGATATATTGTTTGATGAAGGGAACCTGGAGCATACTTGCCCTATTGGATTTGGTGGGAAGGACAGAATCCCTCAGAGAGAGGTGGTCCTGCAAGTAACCTGGTGCTGTGTCATGTAGAGTTTTAAATGTGATAACCAGCATCTTGAATTGCACCTGGAAGCAAACTGGGAGTCAGTGCAGCTCACATAACAGCAATGTGCTCAAAACAGTGTGCGTTGCTGCATTCTGGACCAGTTGAAGCTTCTAAGTGTTATGCAAGGGTGGGCCTATGTATAGTGCACTGCAGTAATCCAAGTGGGAAATTACTAAGGAATGAGTGACCATGTTCTATCACAGTTCTATCACAAGCCATTGTCCCTTTCACATGCAATGAAAAATACTGAAACTTGGGGATATTATGGTTGCCTGATCTATGGCTGATCTATGGCCTGATCTATGGTGTTCCAAATGTAGTTGAACCACAGCTCCCAGGAGTCCCAGCAAACATTGCCAGTAGTGCTCCCATATTGGGAGAGATATTCAGTAAAACAAAAAGGAACATCCCTTGTGAAGCCACGATATATAAATTATATCAACTTCATCTATGGAAACATGGAACTGACAAAAACAAGGCCTAAATACAAGTTGAGTATAACCTAATAGAATTAAGAGAATAGGGTAGGATATCTCAAACTGGGGATATGCTATCATCAATACTTTGGAGGAAGTCATCTATGAGACTTGGGGCAATTCATAGTTTCTCAATGCATCTACTGAACATTCCAAATTAGATCAAATGTTTCATTTCCACTCTTCTTACAACTGACCTAGAGACCGAGACTCATTTATTAACAGCAATGGTTGAGCATGTAAGCAACAAGAATGTTGTGGGATCCCCAAGATCATATGCCTATACTTAAGCAGACAGATACATAAAAAGGCTTCTGTCAGATGATTCTTATCAGGATTAAGCAGGATACCATGTACCAAGTCTTTCCCGTTCAGGACAGACAAACACAAAATCTCAGTAATAACCTTCTCAAGCATCAGAGTAATTTTTATTCCTTTTTGCCATGGTCTCCAGCAAATTCATTAAGTGCAAATTGGGGAAGAGGGAAAGTAACATTTAAACGATAATTCCTTCAACCTTCACACTCCAAGATGTAAGGAAAACTATTCTTAATTGGAAGGATAATCCAAAGGCAATTAATCAAACAACACAGCACTCCTTGGTAAGCAACAGATTATTGTTCTTAAAAGAAAAACACTTGAAAGAAATACTTTAATTAAATTAAGTATAGGTTATATCTTTTTAACAGAAAGAGCTCTTGAACAGCATGTTTCCAACATAAATTGCAATGTTAATAATTTAGAATTTGATCACACTATGTTAAGGCTAAAGGGCATCAGGCAAGTAAAAGGAAAACTAAAACAGTTACACTGCAGTATGAAGAAGGCAACAAGGTTCATACCACGATAATTGCTATCTGCTAAACAGTATCATCCTTCTGCATTACAGTTGTGGATGGAAAGTGTCAATCTGTAGATGGTAAGGATTACTTCTGCTTCAGTTAACAGAGATTAAGATCAAGTTTATTATGTCTGTATGTATTTATGTATGTATACAAAGGAATGTGCCCATATGTTAACTGAAAGACAACAGAACAACTGCCACAGGCTCATCAAAGAAAAACTCTAGTGGAGCATAAATGTTATGACAAGTAAGATGATCCAAAATAACAATGCTTTTCTGGAATTTTATATATAGAATGTCCTGCTAGAAAGGAATGCTGTTTGAGTAATATGAGGAGTAAAGAAAGCAACAATGTGCTGTCCGTGAATACTTTTCTAAAGCCCGCCAAGCTTGTGCTTTCACCACAAGCTTTTGAAAAAATAATAAAGGAACAAAATAGGAATTCATTAGCTTTTGTGAAACTGGCACTAAAATTGGAAAGAAAAAGAAAATCAAATTAAGGTTAGAATTTACACTCAAGCAATACAACGTATCTTGCAAAGAAGTTATCAGATATTAACACCCATCTATTCCTTCATATTCTGAAGCTTTTAATTTAAGATCGATTAATTTTTAAATCCAGAAACCTTTTATAGACTTTTTGCTAATAGAAGAAAAAAGTGAAATGATGATTTATGGATTTAATGATTGAAACAGATGAGAATTAAATAAGGGATTGAAGGGATTTCTGGAAGAGTTAGGAGGGAGGGGAGATGATAGGTTTGTTAATATCTGTTGAAGAGAAGGTCGGAAGTCATATTTCATAACATTAGTTTTTTTCTTTTTCTTTCTTTATCTTTTTCTTTAGATTTGTTTTTTACTTTATGTAAAATCCTCAATAAATATAAATAAAATATTAATTTTTAAATCCATATACAAATGGATACCAAGAGAATAATTTTGCGGTACTGTTACTTTATACAGAATTACTATTTTCCTAAGGAATACTTCAGCCTTTTCCCCCTCAGTTTTACAGTTCACTATTTCCAATACTAATATTAGAACTGGATTAATCTGAATTCAGCCTCTTGATGAGGGTGAAAGAGGAGAGTGCAAAAGCTGGCTTGAAACTCAACATTAAAAAAACTAAGATCATGG